TTACCAGGTGCTTTGTGAGTACATCTAGTTGTCGTCAGGTGTTTTATAAGCACATGTAGTTGTTGACAGGCGTTTTATAAGCACATCTAGTCATTGTCACATGCTTTATAAGCACATATAATTATTTGCAGGTGTTTTATGAAAGATTTAGTAATATCGGACTTTTTTTATAACCACAGATATGACATCTTTAATAATGTGTTCTATCTTATCTGAATTTTCGATAGTGTATCTGGAAAATAGCAAGATTCGGTTGGCAAAATGTTAATAAAATGAAATACTCTGTAATTTGCCGTGTAGAAAAGTCCAGATATAGATTATACTTGGGGAAGAATAACTGCAAATTTGAGAAAGCATCATTAATTAGCCATAAAATAATTTCATTCAAAATTAGGAATTATAAAAAAATGTTGCTCTTAAACCTCACGACTAACTGACATGAGATAATTTTGTCGTCACTAAGTTCTAATTTCTCCGTGAAAAATACAAGTTAATTACACAACTATGAAAGATTCTTCGTTTAATTTCTACTGTAAATGTTTTCCTTCTTAAGATCTGTCGATTAAACAACCACAACATAATATGGGAAAAATAACTGTTTTTCTCTCTTTGACATCTCGTTGTCATTAGCATGAGAGCGAGAGTAGAATTAACCCTGATAAATGATGACTCATTCATGAACGTATTCCTTATAAATGTCGAGCAGAGTCTCTTACACTAACTTTTGAAAAAGGTTTTTTGTTGAACGGACGGTCTTTAAATTTACAGAACTAACAAAACGTTTTCTTTTCTCAACAATATGTCCACAGCACCTCGTTTTAACTGGCTTGATTAATTTAGTGAATTAAAGAAAAGATCATCAAAATAATTAATAAAATACCGATTTAGTGTAATGTTTTAATGTTAAACCTAATTAACTGATTCAGTTACTAGTGTGTGATGAGAAGATTTTGTGTACCGCATCATAAACTAAAATGCTAATGAAACCGTATTCTTGGGGATAGTTACACTGTTAAAATTGCTGAAAGGAGTCTTTCATAAGATTTTCTGTTACCCAGGGCGTTCAAACAGATACGTCAGAAGGAAGCCAATGGTAAGTTTTAGAGTGAGAAGTGGAAACAAAGAATAAAACAGGCCTTGCAGCCTGAGGAGGGATGCCATCTTTATGTTGGCTGTTATTTGTTAAAGAGAGCATGGAGTCACGTGTCAGTTATGTGTGTTAAAAAAACCCTATTTTTATGGCTAATTAATGATGCTTTCTCAAATTTGCAGTTATTCTTCCCCAAGTATAATCTATATCTGGACTTTTCTACACGGCAAATTACAGAGTATTTCATTTTATTGGTTAACATTTGCCAACCGAATCTTGCTATTCCTATTCTGTAGCTTTGAGCTTAAGTTCAAACAAACAAACAAACCTTATGCAGTTAATGGATAGGGAGCCCCCCTCCCCACAGTTGTACTAACCATAAAATCGTCGTTACATTCTAAGAGGTTACTCAATAAATAACGATCTACACGCGTGAACTCCAATGAGATGTGTTACAGAAGATGCAGAGAGCGCGCGTGCATTACAGCCACTAGATCTCTGTGAAAAGTGTATCATATAAAACATTAAATCATATTAACTGTTAAAAACATTATTTCCGTCGGGCGTGGCCTAGTGACTAACGTACTGTGAACCCGAGGGTTTGTTGTTCGCTCCCTGTTATCTCACAAAATGCGTTCCACACTTTTTATTTCGGTCAGAAAATAGTATCCCAAGGGTTGGCGGCGGGTGCTCCTGACTAGCTGCCTTCCCTCTATTCTATCAATTCCTTCTTACCTGCTTTTCATCCTTCAACCAATACATTCTAGGGGGTGGAGCACCATAAGCTGAGCAAGATAATTCGACTTCTGAACCCCAGGTAACGTTGTAAACGGTTCTCGTCACTTGGATAGATGGAGCCACTAGAAATGAAAGATAATTATCCTTTTTAAATTAACACAACTCACTTTTATCCCAACTCACAATTTTTGGCTGTACTTATGATTTTTTCATCTCTACTATGAAAACGAGTGTCATAGCGGTATGTCTGCGGACTTACAACGCTAGAAACCGAGTTTCGATACCCGTAGTGAGCAGAGCACATATAGTCTCTCACACACACAAGAGAACAAAATCCTTCCTAACGAACTAGTGAACTGGTAAAGTATTAGAAAAATAGTCTCTCACACACAAGAGAACAAAAGCTTCCTAACGAACTAGTGAATTGGTAAAGTATTAGGAAAATAGTCTCTCACACACAAGAGAACAAAATCCTCGTGAAAAAAGCAGGATACACAAAAAAGGCAAATAAAAATAAAATAAAATATCAACCTTGACCTGCTTCGTTAACTTCCAGTTATTTTAAGTTTTCAAAAAGAAAAACAAACAGAAGATGTGGAGCATAGTTAATATTATGATAATAAAATATAGCACGCGAGACCCTGAAAATCGGGCATCATTTGAAGCATCATAATATAATGAGCAGGAATTTAACATATATATCATATACATGTATCTACACCATATCACATCACTATCATACAGCATATGCATAGAAATAACCAGTATTACACTCACCAAAATGACCAAGTCCCCCTATTTTCCTAATACTTTACCAGTTCACTAGTTCGTTAGGAAGGATTTTGTTCTCTTGTGTGTGTGTGAGACTATTTTCCTAATACTTTACCAGTTCACTAGTTCGTTAGGAAGGATTTTGTTCTCTTGTGTGTGTGAGAGTGAGACTATTTTCCTAATACTTTACCAGTTCACTAGTTCGTTAGGAAGGATTTTGTTCTCTTGTGTGTGTGAGAGTGAGACTATTTTCCTAATACTTTACCAGTTCACTAGTTCGTTAGGA